CCCAAAAAAATATCATGTCTGATTTGGTTGAAATCCGAAGTAGATGTAGGCTCCCCAACCCATCATCTGGTGTGTCGCTAGTTAAATATACTCGATACTTTGTGTGTAATTTGTTTTGTACAAAATATCAGAATTTGAGACATCGTCAACAACAACTCGTTTCCTTGATAATAGGAATATGTGCGTGCATATTCAGCAAACCACGAACGTATTAAGCTCTCCCAAAAACTCCCCTCGTATTGAACATTTCTACAAGTGAGCCGTGTATGCCCTGTCTTGGACAAAATAACATTGTCGAATGAGGTTCACGCTTGCATGTTCATGTACATGTCTAAATGTAGCACAATATGACCACTGGCTAATGCCATCAGCTGTGGCGCGTTAGCAACCTCTAACTATAACTATAGGGTAACACCCATGCTTGTGCCATTGCGTCTGAACAACGGACAAGGGTGTACTTACTTTTGAATTAACACATTTTTACAAATTTCGCCTTCGTGCAGAGTGTCTTTAAAGCACAGTATACATATACAGTAGATGTAGTATCATCATGTTCAGTCATTTTGAGGTCTATGATTATATTTTCTGACGATATTTCACTTGTTGACATACCAAACACATACCCGGACACGCTATTTAATTAAAACATCTGATGATTTTATCAGCAATGGTTGCTGAGAGTAAACAAACTTCCTGGTTCTTCATGCGCCAGCATATCGCTTTTGACCAATCAAATTCCCCGGTGGCTATAGGTGCTAAGTGTAGCAACAAATGGCAGAGAAAACATGTATATGCAGCTGACAAATCAATCGTCACAACTCGCCGGATTCCAAACCTACATCAAATTTATAAATAGCCCCTGAATCAGCCAGGGTTAGCCTATTGAGAACAACGTTTGTCCTTTATAGACAGGTTGTCTTGACTCAGAGGTTCAAATGCATACACGGACATTTATGTCTAAGTCCGTACAGTTGTTTACTGATATTTGCTTCGACATAGTTTCTCCTAACAGCCAGACAGCTAGCACACGAAGAGGTGACTTAATAAACAATTACTTTATATAGAGATGGTCAAAATAGACATGTTATACACTTAATTTTATTATATAAGGTGACGTTATAGACAGGTATTTATAATACAGAGGTTACCTTATGGACAGATTTTTCTATACATATAGATGGTCAATACATGCTGGTAATTACTATACACTTTAATCTATTCCGCGATTTTTAAGAATCTGTACCGCTTGTGATATAGATGATGTCGAAGATGAATTTCATTTTATTCTTAAATGCCCCTGTTATTCTGATTTACGTGATAAATATTTAAAAAAGTACTATTGTAAAAAACCGAGCATGTTTAAATTAATTCAGTTATTTAACGGACAAAACACAAATGAATTAGCAAAATTGGCCAAATACATTAAAGCTTCAAATTCAAGAAGAACTTTATTAACATAAGTAGTTATGCTCTCCGAGTGTTTTGTCTCGTCTGTGTATTTATTAGTATTTTCGATATTTGTCAATGTTATGAGAAAGTATATATATATATATATATATATCATGTATATGTGTTACACTGATGAGTCGCAAGACTCAAAGTTAATAAAGAACTTGAACTTGAACTATACATGGTGACGTTATTGACAGGTTTTTACCATACATATATGGCCAATACAGACAGGTATTTAATATACGGAGGTAACCTTTATAGACAGCCATTTATTATACAGAGTGATTGACGAGTATATATAGCGTAACCATGGGTGGTCGGATGGCGCAGTGGATAGCGCATTTGCCTTTCACTAAGGCGGCCGGGGTTCGATACCCCGATCGGACGTGAAAAGGTATGGGTTCACCTGTCGTGGTTTTTCTCAGGGTAATCCGGTTACCTCCAACATGAAGCCCCCCCCTCTAATATCCGGGCAACGATAGCTGGTGACCGAAGTTTTATGGTACAATGTTATTCATTTTAAGTATACTGTTTATCAATTACCAAATGTCGTAGCAATCACGTGTACTTGTTTTACGTTCATGTACCCGTGAGCGCATTTAACATATTCATACGGCCAGCTAAAGGGGAAAATAACCACGAGGTAAATAATGGCACCTGCATACATTTTCCACTTCGCACTGTAGATAATTCCATGTAATAAAACCAAATGTAAAGTCAACAGCTCTGTCTATTGATGTAAAAATAGTGTTATCACTTTATTTGGGTATTCAGATCCATAAGATTATAAACCGATTATGCAATCGATCATCAGTCGGTTTACTTCTTCCGATTAAAAACCGATAATCGTTTATGACTTAAACCGAGTGCCCATCACAAGACTAATCATGAAAAGTGCAGAATAAAACTACAGTATTGAATTGTATGTATGCATCAATATGAGTACGGTATAGTAAGTACACTATAGTAAAATTTGAATCCCTGAGTGACCGTTTGAATAAACAAACCGACAGTAAGGTTAACGTTACACGTCTAAGAAATTCTTGTTTTGTCACATTTTGTTGATTCCTCGGTTCAACATCCGTGACATCATCGGTACCGAAGCGAAATCAACCGTGGGTTTCCGACGATGCATCCGTGAGTGCTTGCCCCTACCGTTTCCATACATTCACAGTGGTCACAAAGAGCATATTGTTTCGTTTTCAATATCTAGGTCGCGCTGTCAGGGTTTTGAAATATGATATCAATTAAAGTATGTGCGAGTGTTCGGCGGAAGTTAGTATTGAAATGACAATCAGAAAATCTCGTAACATATGGCATTTAAATTTATTGCTGACACCCACATTGCTATATATGCAAAACAAAAGCACATATCATACGTACCCAGATTCATACGGTACGGAGTAATCGGGCTGGTGCAGAGCAAAGTAAGCTGAAAATGTCTCGACATCATGATGATGTAGCACAAACTTATTTTTGTTTGTCATATCTACAGTAGACAGGTGATGTTTCACTGACTCGTGACTTATGCAAAAAAGAAAAGAAAATCACAGCTTAGACATGAAACGAACCAATTCGCCAGTTTATAGAGGCATCCAATGCTTGCGTCCATTACCTAATTAAAATAAACTCCTATTAAATAACATAGGAAGGGGGAGTGGTGGCGTTGGCAGGGGGCCTCACCATCCTCCTGGATCCACTTTTGATGAGTGTATTTTTTGTACAACATACCCTGTGTTTTACTGGACCCACAGGGACCTGAGAAATTGTTGCAGCTTTATTTGGACCTAAACTAATTAGGTGTTCAGAGTAATTTTACATATTCTAGGGGTTTAGATCGACTTTCGTATATTTGATCATTGAGTGTGTCTTTTTTACCGAAAGTCGATATAAACCCCTAAAACGTGTCAAATTACTCTGGACACCTTAGTTTAGGTCCAAATATAGCTGTTACAAATTATCAGGTCCCTGTGACTCGGCTGATATCTGATACGACAGTTTTATTCAACAATTGTAATTCGCAATCTATATTTGAATTTCTTTACAATTTACATAGTGTGATCAGTGGTTTGCTCCGTACCGACGGATTGTGGACTCCGTACAGACCAAATCATTTCAAAACTGATTTTTGAACTTTGGACAAAATCGCTGATCGCGCGTTTCTAGTCTACATGTACTGATATACCGTTTGAAATCTATAAAAACCAATGGGCTTCCGAACGTTATGAATACTTTAAGATATATATATAACATATATATAATATAACATATATATATATATATATATTATACCAGCAAACGTAAAGTCCTATTCCGATTGGAGCATGGAGTCCACGAATAGGATCTGCTGATTTGCCCAGTGCCGGTGTATGTTTCAGCAGTAGACGGAGACTGCGGAACATTGTTCCAAACACGTACTCATCTGGGTGTGAAGGAATGCTTCATCCTGTCTGAAGAACTTGGGTGCGGACTTTATAGTTTCTCGGAGTTGCCTCTTTAACTATATCGTGGCGTTTCATCGCCCAAATGCTTCACAAATCGGGTGCTTGGGTCCTTGTTGTAGATCCCTTTTGAGATTTAAAAAATCTTGATCATGTCACCTCTATGTCGGCTTTTTTTAGACGTTCCGCATAGCTGAGAGGCTTGAGACCTGAGCCCGTGTTCATGAAACCATTAATTATCATGCTCAAACTCCGATTCTACGCTAAAAACACAATCTCCTCCAGTGCTAATTTAATAAAAAAAAATCCTCATTTTCTCAGTGATTTGGAAGTATTTTCGACAGACTAAACGCCGAATACTTTTTTCAATATTTTCACTTGACCTTTTTTTTGCATTATCACATGATTTAGCAGAGACGTATGTAATGTATACGTCTCTGATTTAAGCGAGTTGCAAGAAAGTTGGTTTGAGCACAAAATCTATATTTGAGCATGAGAAAGGTTACATATTTCATTTTGACAACAGGTACTAGCCCCCACTGTCAATACGGTACACATCCATATGGGTTTATTAACAGAAGACTGGGCTTGCAAAATCAAGATGTGTCTTCACTAAGCTTGTTTGGTGGTATATGAATGTATCTATGTCCAAATGCTGAAACAATATCCTTAATAAAGCGAACAATGAGTTGGCTTGTTTTCTTTTTTCGCTGGTATGTTGTTCGAAATTTAAAGCAGCATCTATATATACAGTTACCCCTTCATCCTTCTCGATTTATAAGGTCGGTACATGCACAGGGACCTGATAATTTGTTACCGCTATATTTGGACCTAAACTAAGCTAAGGTGGTCAGAGTAATTTCACATGTTTTAGGGGTTTACCTGTTAGATCGGCTTTCGGTAAAAATGACACCCCCAATTATCATATGTTTATTGGGGGTGTCATTTTTAAAACATGTAAAATTACTCTGAACACATTTGTTTTCTTCTGTAAATGTAAGTTGGTTAGCAAATAGGCCTAGATGGGGCTATTGGATCAAACTTTTCCGGATTCCCGTCTACATGTCAGCATTTAGTAGTTCTCGTAATCATGGTCGCTAAAAAGCTTCAAACGAGTTAGGCGGCTTTGTTCAAATGTAGTTTTCTATGTAATTTAGTGGTTTCACCCTGTATTTTCGCAGAAAGATATGACATCTACGAAAGAGGATGACAACAATTCTTCTGGTTTTGGGCAGGTATAAATTGTATTTAAAATAGAAAACCTGCATTTGGTTTCGAGATCGTTGCTGAGACGTATGACTTGAAGGGCCAAGCATAGGGGTTCGTTACAAATGTCTGAAATACACATGCTATACTGATATGGGTCATATTCGTAGATGTATGTTTATGTGTGCTGTGACCCACATCAGTGTGTCATATGTGTACTTCAAGCATTTGTAACGAACCCCTGTGGACCAAGTGAAGCATTGGTTACATTTGGTCAGTTGGTACAATGTATGTTTGGACTAATGTTATTTTCCACAATATGTCATCAGCTACATGTATGGAATCTAAAGGCGTTTGCTTGAGCATGACATCTTATCCCAAAATTTTAAGTGGATCATTTTGACTATAGTATCAGAATGTAAAATCTATATCATATATATAGGTCCTGAAGAAGCCCTATATAGGGGCGAAAACGGTTGACTCTTCTAATAAACTACAAGAACAACCAGCTATTGCTCCTTCGCCTGTTGTGATTGAATCTATTTTATGATGTTCTCACTTTTACTCAATCCCCTGCATACTTTCAGGTATCCAGACAAGGAGCAAGGGACCAAATTATTCCACCATTAAGATAAACCATGGCGTTGGCCTTGACTCAATCTATATAATAGAATACATGTACTGAACTGATACATTTTTATTTTTTATTTTGCCAGAGAGATTTTTCCACAGAGGAGTACCAAGCCATACAGAATGCTCTTCGACAAAGATTGGGACCTGAGTTTATCAGCCAGCGTGCTGGAGCAGGTGGTCAGAGGGTAGGACATCAATCACTACCTGGTTATAAAGGGGTGCACATGTTTTGCTATGCTTGGATAAGACATTCAGTACTTTCCAAAAGTCGTTTCCATACATTCCAACATGGCACTTTATTTGCATTTTGTGATTGTATATTGTAAGGTTCTTCACCAAAACTACCTAGTACCAAAAAATCTACAATTAATCGGTTTCCAATTTACCCAGGAGAAACTCTGACACTGTCACAAATTTGACGTGCATATTGATATATATATATGAGTACTGAAATACTGGTTATTGGAATACCTAAATTAACAATATAAGCTATGAAAAATCTTCTGGTAAATATTTAACACTTTCTGGGTCATTTGCATTTGTAGGAGAGTTAAGTTGTAAAAATTGATGACATCCAATAGAGCATCCGTAGTCCCAGGGAAACAATATATATTAACCTATTTAAATAAGCGTAAGTGCAATCTCCATCTGCAACTGAGGATGCCAATGGTCAAAGTTCAACAGAATCTGCTTAATTTGGTAATTGATTTGTTGTAGTATTTTTTTTTGTGTGTTTCATGCTCAAGACTCATTCATGTGGGAATTCAGATATGTTTATAAATGTCATAAGGTCTCAAAAACTGGAAAATTCCATACTTCCAACAGCAACTAGACAGCTATGTATTGGTTTTAGATAGTTTCCACACTATGTGAGTAAGATGTGTATATTTTATTTTTTAATGTTGAGTATCCCTTTGCAGGACTAAAAATTAATATCAAATACCACTAGCTATATAGGTGTAACATGAAAGAGAATAGTGTGCTTCCAAGGGGGATCAAACCCTCTATCTCCAGGTTCCTAGTCGGACGCTCTACCACTGAGTTAAAGGGAAATTCCCTCTAGCTCGAAGCTAGAAGGCAACCATAACCCTTATGTACAATTAAAACCTGCCACACTACTCCCACCTTTTTAAATGTGTTTGCCCTCGAACACCACAACCCAGGATCTAACTCCCTGTCATTACAGGGAGGGCCACAGACACCATTTGTAACAGGAAAGAGAATGGTGTGCTTCCACCAGGGATCAAACCCTCGACCTCCAGGTTCCTAGCTATATATAGTCGGACGCTCTACCACTGAGCTAAAGGGAAATTCCCTCTAGCTCAAAGCTAGAAGGCGACCTTAATCCTATGTACAACTAAAATCTGCCACATAGACAATAGGGGGAACAAGATAGTCCGGGTCAATATCAAATTTTGACTAGTCAATCGGTTTTAAAACCACTAGTCCAGCTTGAGATTTCACTAGTCTCAGACTATCGGGCTACTATTGTTGTTTAACCATGCCTTGGTATATGCCAATACATATGTATTACAGTTGGTTGAAAGCCTCTCAGTGGTTGTATACATTAGTCAGCATTTGAGTCACTAATCCACGGTAAAATTTACTGAGTGAAAGTAAAAATTTTGTTCTCTTCGTTATAACCGAATTGAATCACTCTTCTCAGACTTCATACAAGATATATTTTGAAACGGTACAAAGGATGCATGGGGTTGAGCATTCAGGGTTACTGGGTCAAAGGTCATTCAAGGTATCTTTCTATAAATATATTTAACGGGAATACATTGAACAGCATTTGAGATTACAAGGTTGAATATCAAGTTTTACTGTTTTTCACTATCAATACATTCTCTTTTATATCATTAATTTGATATTCAATGGATTGATACCCAACCAATGGAAATTTCTGTAAACCCCAAGTGCATGAAAAGAATATTTTCAAAATAAGGTAAATTTATGTCTAAGTAGTAAAGATTATATTGATTTGCTATTCATGATACTGTTTCTATAAATCTGATTCCTTGTCTTCCTAGCTGGCCTACATAGAGGGCTGGAGGCTGATAAACCTGGCCAATGAGACATTTGGCTTTAACGGCTGGTCCCATACTATCACTAACCAGACAGTCGGTAAGTACATGGGTAGTACACATTTATTCACATCATTAGAGCTATAGGAATTTCTAGAAAAAATCTCCAACTCAATTATTCCAGATGTTGTTAAATATAGTTTTATGTACTTTGTTTCATCTTTTATAGAAGTACTTAACATAATAATCTGCAGGATTATTTAATTTACATTTTTAGGTTTTGTAGTACAATGAGCTGCTATATGCTAATTAATTAAAATATTCTCAGAATGCATCATATTTTCACTTGGTATTTATTTGTGGGAGTATATCATCAGCAAAATGACAAAAATACTGGAATCTAGACAATGATGAGTTTAGATGAACATGATAACCAACTTTAACCTGCTGAGTAGCGTTTCTGTCATCTGTATACATGTATATATATAGTCTACAGTCGACAGCATGTATGGGTTTCCACAGCATTCCTACAGCATTAGTATAGTTTATAATATTTTTCTTTTTATTCAGATTTTGTCGATCAATACAATGGCAGATTCTATGTGGGTGTCAGTGCGTTTATAAAAGTGAAGCTCAAGGTGAGATAGACTTAGTGGTATGATATCTGTTATAACCAGGGTCTCAAAACTTATTTTCTAAATGATAATTGCTTTGTTATGGTATGGAATGAAATTCCCTCTTTTTAAGCTCTCCTAGTCCAAAAGGTCAACTGGCCATAATTTTTCATATATTTGAATATTGAATGGCAAATGGCCAGTAAGATTTAATTAAAACGTACTTGGTAGAAAGAAACCTATCTGTATCATGTCCACATTAATGCATGTCTGCTGTTTTCCTGACTGATTTAGAACTTAGATTGGTCAACTTGATGAAAAATTGAATTCCAAAGGTGACATTTCGGACAGTTACTGTATCAGTTAATAAATTCACATATATTATATTTATCACATAAAGTACTGTGTTATCCAGTGAATATACCCATGTCATACAATTTTGCATATTAACGTATATAATATGACCTATCAGCCCTGTGATTGGTTGTAAGTTTCAATTGTTTCAATTGTATCGTCACGCCTGGGACATGTACATGACGTCACAGACTTATGCACTGGAGTCAAAATGGTAGCTTTTTACATTTCAAGGTTGCATGAAAATTGTCGTTTTACACGAATAAATGCCACAAATCTTGATTATGTGATGAAAAGGATCTTACAATCATTTTCATTTCATATGAAACTTGTCATGAATTTTTCATTTTAGCTCACCAAATTGAAAAATTCTTAGACTTGTTTCATAAACTTCATATTAAATGGGAACTCATGTAAGATCCTATTCATATAAACTGTATAACAAAACATCAGCACATTTTAAAATATTCCCAGTTTTAAAATAGTTAATAAAGATGACATTTACATGAATCTGTCGAAATTTTCCTTTCCAAAATTGTATACATGTACATACATATATATCAATGTAGGCGATATAAAAAATGACAATAAAACTTGTCATCAGACTGACCGGCTACCCGCCTTGAATCCATAGTTGTATATAGTTAACATTCCTTTGATCTGTATACCAGGATGGTAGTTGTATATGGTTAACATTCCTTTGATCTATATACCAGGATGGTAGTTGTATATAGTTAACATTTCTTTGATCTGTATACCAGGATGGTAGTTGTATATAGTTAACATTTCTTCGATCTGTATACCAGGATGGTAATTGTATATAGTTAACATTTCATTGATCTGTATACCAGGATGGTAGTTGTATATAGTTAACATTTCTTTGATCTCTATACCAGGATGGTGTTTTCCACGAGGATATCGGCTATGGCGTGAGTGAGGGTATGAAGTCTAAGGCGCTGTCTATAGAGAAGGCAAGGAAGGAGGCAGTTACTGATGGCCTCAAGAGGGCATTGAAGTGAGTCTCCTAAACTATGTAACTGTACAAGTCTTCCTGGATAGAAATTTCTTAAGGTGCTTTATAAAAACTGAATTTCATTTTTCCCATGTAACCCGACTCCCGCTGGGGAGGAGGTGCAATTTACTCAAGCACATAAAGGGAAATAACTGTTTATTTGTCAACCTTGTTATAAATTCCATCATAATCCATCCACATCTGTTTATTAATTCATAAATCAATTTTATTGATATACCACATATGACTTTCTCAGTAACAGGGGAGCTGCCAGTGTTTTTGGTTTGAAAAGAATTAACCTGTGTGGGAGTACATTTTTGGTTCAATGTTAAAAACTCCCATCTGAATATTGCATTATTTGTCACATCTAGCTTGACATATTGGATGCTTATCTATCATATAGGAGTTTTGGAAATTCCCTCGGAAATTGTCTTGGAGACAAGGATTACCTAAAATGTATCAACAAAGCTTCAAAACCAGTAAGTATCAAAATTATTAGTGTTTTTTCAACCTTCATATTTGAACTGAAATTTAGTCCCATTTCAAATAAGATTGAAGTATGTCTTTTTTCTCTATTTTAATAGGGAACATTTGGTAAAAGATATAGTCAATTGTTTAGTCTTAAAAAATAATGAAGGAAAAAAAATGAGAAAACTTGTATCAAGTAGATCAATACAGAATTGATTTTTTCTGAACACAACTCCAATAATTCCCAGTGACTGTTGTTTATACTTACAGTACCTAAATGATTTATTTGTTCTTGTTTTTGAATACAGACTGAAATAACGCATTCTTTCTGTATGTATGAGGAAAGAAAACAGTGTAGTTTATTAGAAACAGAAAATTAAACTTATGAACAAAAGGTATATTAGGTTATAAATTCTAAGAAATTCTTTGAAAAAAATTGTCATTTAGTAAATAAATTTCAACAAGATTCTGTTTTATTAATTGCAATTAGGAATTTATAACCTAATGTACCTTTTGCTCTTTAGTTTACTTTTCTGTTTCTAATAAACTACACTGTTTTCTTTCCTCATACATACAGAAAGAATGCATTTATTTCAGTCTATATTCAAACACAAGAACAAATAAATCATTTAGGTACTGCAAGCAGTGTTGAAAATTTTGAATTCAGGTCTGGTTCTGAAATAAAAATATAAAGTGTTATAATGTCCTCATTGGTAATAAAGATAAAAGGAGTTTATATTGAAAACAGTAAGTCAAAATACCAGCACATATATATAAATGTATGTTTTATGCGACATCTGTTCCAGACACCCCAGACGTATGAAATGGCCCACATGAAGCATACCGACATTGATGTAGATATCAGTAAGGTTAGGAGAAGTGGACATATGGGAGCAGAACAGGGCAGAAGGACATGGGGAACAGTCACACCGCTTCTCCCCCAGGCTGACTCGGGGATTGGTCCACAGTCAGACACAAGGGAGATAACTCACAGCACAACTGGCAGTTCAAGGGAGGCAACTACACACAGTGGACCATCCAGCACCAACTCTGGGCGCTCCACAAAGTCTGAATGGACACCTGCTGAATTAGTGTTTGATGCTACCGAAGCTAGTACCTGTCAGGCAGCATCTGTACACCAGATGTCAACGCGACGGGGCTCCCTACCAGCCAATCAGAATAAAGGTCCTCTCCTGCCCCCTAGTGGAGAGTCTAGTGGTCAATCCTCAACAAATCACAGGAGGACACTCTCTGTACAGTTGGTGGACCCTCAGTATGGAGACAAGTAAGTTTCTCGGCTTTACTCTGGTCTACTTTAATTAAGGATATATGCTACCTTATACATTGTTGATTTGTGTCAGAGTTGCTTCCCCTATCATTATTAGGATTTTAAGTTCTGTGTGTAAGTATTAATGGATGTACCCTTGTAGGTCTCTCAAATGTGTTGTATTAATTAACCAAGTCTAAACTGACCATTCATTCAAGACATTTAAAAATTGTTCTAAATGTGGAACTCTTTGGAAAGGAGGTACGTATACATGTCAGCGAACTCTTTTGTAAAAAGGAAATATATCTCACAGCAAAGTAGTATATAACAACATGTACTCAACATTGACTATTACATTAAAACCTTGTACATTTATTGATACACTTTTCAAGCTTAACTTGTGATAAATTTACTGTCTGTAATGGTTTTGCTGTAACTCTTGTCATTCATGTTTTATTATGACATTTGAATTCAAGACGTCGAAATAGTTCAAAATTGGTAGTTGTTACTTTCTGTTCAGCTAAACACTCAGCATTTAGAGTAAGCACAATAACTGGTTTTCCTGTTCTTAGTATAGTGTGACTGGGTGGAATACTGTGCCTTCGGCATGGTATTGCAGTAAGGTAGCACTCTAAAGTTGACATCAGATACGAGCTTACAAGTAGGCAAATACACCAACATACAGCCTCTTCACACACACACACTTACATTACACACCCTTAAAGGCTCTTAGCTGTAAATAGGATGCTTAGCCGCATCAACCAACTGACATGAATTAATTAGCAGTGAATTTTTGGAAAAGAAAAATTATCTAATGATCCCCGCTAAATTTGTTCTGTCCATTCTTATATTATCTGTTTGTCTGACACCAATCTATGTGTAGTCAGTTTACTTGTGAAACCTGACTTTACTGACACTTGACTTCATGAACATCCTGTGATACCAGACATGGTGTTATGGACCTAAAAGGCTAGTTTTGCCTTCATTATAACAGAAATACTCTATAGATAAGATAACTATGATTTACAATTTAGATTTAAACACTGTATTTACCATTTCAATAGCTGACAGCCCCATTTCAGTAAAAAGAAACACTTGATATATATACATTGTAAATGTGTACTACATATGCACATTTATCACATAATGTACTGTGTTATCCAGTGAATATACCCTGTGATTGGTTGTAAGTTTTGTTTGTTTCAATTGTGACGTCAAGTCTATGACAAGTACATGTACATGACGTCACAGACCTACACACTGGAGTCAAAATGGCGTTTTTTTTACATTTCAAGGTTGCATGAAAACTGTCGTTTTACACGAATCAATACCACAAATCTTGATTATGTGATAAAAAGGATCTTACACTTGTTTTCATTTCATATAAAATTTATGAAACTCATGAAATGAAAACTCATGTAAGATCCTATATATATCAAGAGAGTTGTCAAACACTTAATGCTTCATTTCAAGACATGAATCAGATATTTGAAATTTCAAAACAAACTATGAGTATACTGGTAAATAAAATTGTTAAATTGGTAATTGTTTCGAAAGAAGACATGCTATGTTGACTCTACAGAGAATACACATTTGTTGACAGAAATTCTAACGACAAATTGTTTTCCAGTAAAGAAGATGAAAAAATGAGGAACGAAAGAATATATCGACAAAGACAGAAACAAATAGAATTTCAACAAAAGTTGAAGAATCAAGTCCAGTCATCAGACCAAACAACACTGAACAATATTGGTAAATCATCACGATCACTAACGATATCCAAAGTAGCAAATCAGATTTAATGCTGATTAGCAATACTATATTAAACTTTTCTTGCAAAATCTGTATATAAGCTTGTATTCTGATGATCTGTATGTAGTACAGACTATCAGTTCATTTTAAATTGAAAAAAAAAAAGGATTTTATTTTTGTTGGAAAATCTTACAATGTCCCACGCCATGTATTCCAGCTTTACTAGTAACTTAAGGACACATGTTACCATCAATCATGTATGTATATGTAGTTTTATGTTTAGGGTTGTCTTTCTTTTAAAATTACAATAATGCAGAATCATCCGTGCACTAGTATTGCTTGTTTTCTTGTGTTTCTTACTCATTAAAGGTAATGAACATGCCTCTAAGTGTGAAACTTATTTGATGATAATTTACATATACATGTAGTAACTAGTAAGGTAGCCTATAGCCTTTGGGAGTTAAGGTAATAGGATTCATCATTGTGTCACCATTTCTCAGTAGAATTTCTTCAAATTTTGTAATTATATTGCTTTGAAGTAAAGAAAATTTGGTGCCACATAAAAAATATAGGTTGTCAGAATTTTAAGGATTTTAAATGGAAATTTATGTAAAAAGGAGTGAATTTTGAAAAAAAAATGAAAGACATTTTTTTCCAAAATAATGTAAATAAAAATGATACTGCCATAGATTAGTATTACATTAATGTATATCAATTTAATAAATGCTGAAATTGTGTAAAATAAATGATCTATAAACAATTAAAAATTGACATTTTATAATAAAACCATATACACATAGTAATTGCATTTAAGAGATGTCTTTCTTGACAAAACTTCACAGTAGTGAAATAGGTAGCCGGTTTCCTGAAGTACAGAAAAATGGACACATGTGACTCATTGATAAAACTGAATAAATGCCTGGATTGCTTTGCAATACTTTAATATTGAGAGAACACAGTGTTCTGTCAATAACAAACATACAATATTCATCAGTTTAATATTAAACATTAGAATATGCGGAAATTGTGATACTGTCTCCCTATATTGGATTTTCAACTAGGGATGTACTTCCTATTTCCGTTTATCAATACACTCCTATGACCTTAAACTGACCATTCTATTTGTAGGCCCACCAATGGCTGCATCCACTCCTGCCTACCCACTGGGGCCACCAATCAGCACTTCCAGCCCCAAACCAAATATTGGTAAACGGAGAGGTCAGCTTGGCAGTACTTCACGGCCACAGAGTAACTCGGACCAGCTGGACGGTGACAATAAGGACCAACTACTGGTGGAAGATGGCAATTTTGGTCAGTACGTCGATGAAGGATTTATGATTATCAAAAAAATATGATACATAGAAGAAAGCAGTTCAATTTTTTATCACATACATTTAATGAAAGCAGTGGTACCATTTAATTTTGCAGTCACCATGGTATACAAGGCGAGTGCAAGGAGATCTAGAGGGGGTATATTGGAACCTGTTAATAATCAGAAAGACTCCTATTTAGAGGTGTCGTGATTCACCGCGATGCACTTGTACCGCGATTATTTATGTTCGATTCGATTCACGATATATTTTTCCGGATTTTCGATGCGTCACAACCTGAATATTAGTGTATGCCCCTTCAGCCGAAACGTCTGTGAGACGTTCAATTTCATTGGCTGATCTCTAAACCCTCAACCAATTGGCTGCGAGGATGCAATTTTCACAAAGCATTCATAACAAAATGGTGGACGCCGTAAGGAAATGAAAATTTGTGATGCTCCGACAAGCTTCAAATCAAAAGTGTGGAAAAACTGCTGGTTTCAGTGTATCGACGGCTTATATATCTCATTTTGTTTATATTTTAAAATAACAGTGTATCGAATCGTGGTACAAATATCGAGATACGTATCGAATTGTGGGTAAAGTATATCGTGACAGCTCTACTCCTATTGAGTTAATCAATACAGATACTTATTAGTCTGTATGTTGGATACCAAAACTATCTAGAATATGGTAGTTACACTGCCATGTTCCACATGAGACATTTGGAAATTATTATGGCATAGTTCTTCGTCTACTTAACCAGCATATAGCAAGATCACAGGATTTTATTTGAATTTTACAAAGACTACAGTTATGTAAATTGGAGAAATATTTTGAATAAAGTAAGGTATCATTCTGCTGAAAATATCTGAACAGGATAAATACTGTTTATGGTACAACAACTTATTTCTCTCTCTCTGTGAATAATTCTGACATTTATTGTAGAGGATGCTGAGCTATGGAGCCAGTCACTGGATCTGGAGAATATAGAGCCTATGGAAGGAGCGAATACAGGAAAAGAGGATAAAGGTTTAAACAGGAGCCGTACAATATATAGTAACAACAGGAAGACACGGACCCCCAGTAAACAGTCAGGTAACTCTGGGTTGGGTACCCCAAAGGATGTCACTCTCAACCGACACTTCCCTGTTACTAAGGCTGCTCTGCTTAGGAAGATACCTGGACCAAACCCCATAGGTAGGTCTTAACATGACCACAAAGGTAGGTCTCTGCCAAAATCTCATGTAGGTCCTTACCTAACCTCACAGGTAGGTCTCTGCCAAAATCACATGTAGGTCTTTACCTAACCTCACAGGTAGGTCTCTGCCAAAATCACATGTAGGTCTTTACCTAACCTCACAGGTACAATGTAGGTCTCTACCTAACCTCACAGGCAGATCTTTACCTAATCTCACAGGAAGTTCTCTAGCAACAGTCACAGGTAGATCTCTACTGTCTACCTAACCTCACAGGTAGATATCTATTGTCTACCTAACCTCACAGGTAGATATCTACTGTCTACCTAACCTCACAGGTAGATAAGATCTCTACTGTCTACCTAACCTCACAGGTAGATAAGATCTCTACTGTATACTTAACCTCACAGGTAGATAAAATCTCTACTGTATACCTAACCTCACAGGTAGATAAGATATCTACTGTATACCTAACCTCACAGGTAGATCTTTACTTTCTAGCTAATCTCACAGGTAGATATCTACTGTCTACCGAACCTCACAAGTAGATCTCTACTTTCTAGCTAATCTCACAGGGAGATCTCTACTGTCTACCTATCCTCACAGGTAGATATCTACTGTCTACCTTACCTCACAGGTAAATATCTACTGTCTACCTATCCTTATATGTTACTCAGATCTCTACTGTCTACCTAACCTCACAGGTAGATCACTACTGTTTACCTTACCTCACAGGTAGATTGCAGGTAAAAACTGGGATTTCATTATAAAATGTCAATAGAGTTTGATGAAACTCATTAATTTTTACATTTTAAGCAAATTCTACTAGTAATTAATAAGCACATAAGTAATACTGTACAAATGAAGATTTTCAATACAACAATGCAAAAGAAGGATTTACATATATCAGATTGGCTGGGAATGAGTTTCCCCCACCCTTAGGAATGAGTTTCCCCCACCCCTAGGAATGAGTTTCCCCCACCCCAATGAATGAGTTTCCCTGACCCTTATGAATGAGTTTCCCTGACCCCTAGGAATAAGTTCCTGACCCCTAAGACTGTTCCTATATCCCTATGTGGATACTTTGAGCCTTGGGAAAACTATTTCTATGCAGGAAGGGGCATCTCTATTCAAAAGTGTTAATTAGGTTATCCTCAACCCCTCAACCCCCGCCTCCTCCTTTCAAAAATACTGGAACAGAACAGTAACATTTTCCATGTCATAGATAGGACATTGTAACAACCATATTTGTGGCCTGATCACTTGATCACATTGATGTTATTACTGGCTCCTGGGCCACTTACCTAACTTTAACTTTAAAAAACATGTACATTTGATTACAGATGACTACAATGGAATTCAGAAAAGAAGAAGAGTCGACGTATGACCTTAGGAAGCCAAATTTGTCTGGATTAAAACTCAGAATATAAGACCTTACAAACCTTGATCGTGGTTCAGCATTGATCTGCTATGCAATGCAGTGGTGGAAAATGGCATGTCTATCATTATACTTTAGAAGAGATATCACCTTATTTCTTATGTGATAATAAGTTTTTGGTGGGTATGTTTGGTCGTCTAAATACCTCAAATACGAGTGTGCAATATTTTCCGTAAAATGGACCAGTAACTAACCTGGTCTCTGAGAATGAATTTTGATCTAGATCACTTGTAATGTGTACACTACATTGTAATCTAGATATCCTTGTGCACAGTGCAGAGTAATCTAGATATCCTTGTGCACGGTGCAGTGTAATCTGGATATCCTTGTGTACAGTGCAGTGTAATCTGGATATCCTTGTGTACAGTGCAGTGTAATCTAGATATCCTTGTGCACAGTGCAGTGTAATCTAGATATCCTTGTGCACAGTGCAGTGTAATTTAGATATCCTTGTGCACAGTGCAGATTAATCTAGATATCCTTGTGCACAGTGCAGTGTAATCTAGATATCCTTGCGTACAGTGCAGTATAATCTGGATATCCTTGTGCACAATGCAGTGTAATCTAGATATCACTGCGCACAGTGCAGTGTAATCTAGATACCTTTGTGCACAATGCAGTGTAATCTGGATATCCTTATGTACAGTGCAGTGTAATCTGGATATCCTTGTGCACAGTGAAGTGTAATCTGGATATCCTTGTGTACAGTGCAGTATTCCCTGGATATCCTTGTGCACAGTGCAGGGTAATCTAGATATCCTTGTGCAAAGTGCAGTGTAATATGGATATCCTTGTGCACAGTGCAGTGTAATCTAGATATCCTTGTGTACAGTGCAGTATTACCTGGATATCCTTGTGCACAGTGCAGTGTAATATGGATATCCTTATGTACAGTGCAGTGTAATCTGGATATCCTTGTGTACAGTGCAGTGTAATCTGGATATCCTTGTGCACAGTGCAGTGTAATCTAGATATCCTTGTGTACAGTGCAGTATAATCTGGATATCCTTGTGCACAGTGCAGTGTAATCTGGATATCCTTGTGCACAATGCAGTGTTATCTGGATACCTTTGTGCACAATGCAGTGTAATCTAGATATCATTGTGTACTGTGCAGTGTAATCTAGATATCCTTGTGTACAGTGCAGTGTAATCTAGATATCCTTGTACACAGTGCAGTGTAATCTGGATATCCTTGTACACAGTGCAGTGTAATCTGGATATCCTTGTACACAGTGCAGTGTAATCTAGATATCCTTGTACACAGTGCAGTGTAATCTGGATATCCTTGTGTACAGTGCAGTGTAATCTGGATATCATTGTGCACAGTGCAGTGTAATCTGGATATCTTTGTACACAGTGCAGTATAATCGAGATATCCTTGTGCACAGTGCAGTGTAATATGGATATCCTTGTGTACAGTGCAGTGTTATCTAGATACCTTTGTGTACAGTGCAGTGTAATCTAGATATCCTTGTGAACAGTGCAGTGTTATCTAGATATCCTTGTGTACAATGCAGTGTTATCTAGATTCCTTTGTGCACAGTGCAGTGTAATCTAGATACCTTTGTGCACAGTGCAGTGTAATCTTGATATCCTTGTGCACAGTGCAGTGTAATCTAGATACCTTTGTGCACAGTGCAGTGTAATCTTGATATCCTTGTGCACAGTGCAGTGTAATCTGGATATCCTTGTGTACAGTGCAGTGTAATCTAGATATCCTTGTACACAGTGCAGTGTAATCTAGATATCCTTGTACACAGTGCAGTGTAATCTGGATATCCTTGTACACAGTGCAGTGTAATCTAGATATCCTTGTGAACATTGCAGTGTATTCTAGATATCCTTGTGTACAATGCAGTGTAATCTAGATACATTTGTGCACAGTGCAGTGTAATCTGGATATCCTTGTGTACAGTGCAGTGTAATCTGGATATCCCTGTGCACAGTGCAGTGTAATCTAGATATCTTTGTGTACAGTACAGTGTAATCTAGTTATCCCTGTGCACAGTGCAGTGTAATCTAGATATCCTTGTGAACAGTGCAGTGTTATTTAGATATTCTTGTGCACAGTGCTGTGTAATCTGGATATCATTGTGTATTGTACATTGTTATCAGAATCCATGTATGAAATTAATTATAGTGATGGAATGATGGTTGATCAAAATTGAAATTGATAGATTTGTCCTTTCCTATACCAATTATCAATTCACAGTTTCATTGTCCATATAATTGGTTCATCATTGATATCAAAGTGTGATGTCTTGAGTGTGAAGTGTCCATTGAATGTCATATAATCTTAACATGAATTTTTACTATATGATTGACAAAACTGCATAGATATTGCTTGAAATCCATCCATTATAAAAATGAAACCTATTAATGTATAGCTATCAAGTCTGTCTATTGATGTACTAGTAGTGTTCTCACTTTTTGGGGTATTAAGTCCAATAAAATCATAAACTGATTATGCAGTTGATCATCAGTTGGTTCACTACTTCTGATTACAGACTGATCATCGATAATGATTTTAAACCGTTTGCCAATAACTTCATTATCATCTCGATGTCTAAATATGTACGGTACATTGTAATCTGAATGGCCAAATATATACACTACGTTGTAATATGAATGTTGACATACAGTGTATGGTAAACACATTGTAATCTGGGTCTCCATGTATTCATAGATAATATGAATGCCAACAGGATAAAGGTATATTTAAAGAAGCATATCAGCACTTTATGTTAAATTTACCATTGTGTAGTTGGTACTCATATTGCCTATGAATGCCAACATAAAGGAGTTCAGCACTATCATTTAAGGAATAATCTTTCGAAAGTTAAATAATTTTATCAAATTAAGCATTTATTGGATTTAGTGTATGTAATGTTTTATGCTTGTTCAACAGCCATCTGTTCAGGGAGAGTCAGTGGTATCCCACACTTCAATTAATGATGTCAGAATAATGATATCAACAATCGGGTCATGGCATTCATAGCTGGTATGAATGCCTTCTGAATGTGGTAGAGTAATATAGAGCAATTCCATATGGTGGTAAATATTTTAATTTATGTTTTCAATGTCCACATTGTAATCTGTAGTTAAAGTTGTTACCAACATGTAGCTGACGGGTAACTATGGGATAAAAGTATTACTCTGTGCAGGTTCGAATTCATCGGTTAAAAATGTCAATCATGCATTGTTAGATAATACTCTGTTTTATTTAAGGTTGTATCCATAATTCTTTTATTGTAAATATTGTTATTGTAAATAATTTATCTTGGACCGACTATCTAAGTACATATGTATATTTTGTAAAATAATTCTTGATAAATGCAACTATAATGTCAAATGAATTTTGAAGACCTTAAATGAAATACAAGGGAACAAGTAAAGATTGTAGAGCACAATGAATTGTTATATGCCATTGAACAGTTTATCTTTGTCGTATATACATTATGTTGTTGGCAATCATCTACACATGTTTACAGTAAATAAATATTGTGTCTATGAAGAGAAACCTAGTTTTGTGTTGAGTCGATGTATTGTTTCACCATCAGGCCTGTATCAACACTTCCTTATTTTGTTATTTTTATATCTGTCTGTTCACTTCGATAACATAGACACAAGTCCATGAAAAAGCATTCCAGAAACTTTCGAATATTTTGGACAAGGGCTTGTAGTGATTGTAAAACATCTAGCTAAGACACATCATATTCTGCATGGCCTTGGGATGTATGAAACACCAATTCTGTGTACACAAGTGGAGGCTTCATAGATACCAAAACAAACACACCAAAGTTGTTTTCCATGTTTTTTATTGTATTTTATATCTTTTATTCTTTTTTTTTCTGTGTTTTTTTTTTTACACATGCTACATTGGCATAATGGACCGTTTCCATAAAAGGTATATATGGTTTTGTGTTATTACATTTTCTTACACCAATAAGTGTCTCTGGGACACCACACATGGCCAAACCTGTTACATGCACAGGAACAATGTATAATTAAATGATGGGTTCATACACAACCCTAAATGTTAAAAAAAAGCTCTTCACTGAGCGAGCTGAATATACACACTTCTGGTTCAATGATATTTCAAGGAAAGACATTTCCTTTAACATGCCTCGTAATTCAAATTTCCACTATCCCTAATATTAATGTGAATTGGTAATAAAACTGTTATACATCTTTAATTCTGCTCGAAATATTTCTGTCCTTAAAATGAACAATACCCACACAAAGATCGGGTTATTATTGTGTAATGGTTTTATGTATAAACACTACTTCCCTTCCTATAGAATAGTGAGAGATAAAGAGATACTTTTACGTATGTGTGAATCCTTTCACTATGTCACCAACAGGGAGCTGCGACGGCTGCTTCATGAACCTCAACAAATATTGAATCGAGATTGCACTTCTGAATATTTTCAGCAGAGGTATGAAACATCCGACATCATTGCACTACAATCTACTGTTAAGGGAACTTTATCACATTCCAACATAGAACAGTTAATGAAACAGGGTGACTAGCATTAAAGCCAGTCGACCGAGGTGAATAACACACTGAATTGATAAGCTTCCAACACTATAAATATCTATGAATTTGTCTAATAGTTTACTACTCTTGAATGTTTTTCAAGAATCATTCTGTCCAAACTATCCACATTCTGCTAAATGAATAATTTCATGCTGAAAACTTAGTAACATTTTAATACTATTGCTCCGTACAAAAATTTGTTAAGAATAAATTTGGAGCAATACACAAATTTACAGTATTTTTACAAGAACAAGTGTCATAACAGACAACGGTCTAACACTGGAGAACAAGATAATCTATGTAAATTTTGGTATTCAACCAATAGTCCAGCTATTTTCTGTTGAAAAAAACCCGATAATTGTCATGACTTATAATTAATATTCACATCTTCACTGCGAGAAGCAGTTACATTCCAAGGTATATAACGGTAAAATAAAACTAGGTTATCATTGATTTTTTTTTTATATCTTATGAAAACCAGTTAATAAATTCTTAGTATCACTGAAAATAGTATTAAAAATATGTAGCACTATTATACATAATTTATATGTTCTTTGCCTTTCAATTGTTTCATGCAATTTTATTTATGATTTTTACTACAAAAAGAAGTCTTTAAACTTGAACGACATGTCAACTTGTGCCTATCTTAGATCTTTTCTGTTAAAAGCTAAACTTTACCAAAATTATTCAGTAGAAAAGAGAAACTAGATGTTTCACTATGGGCAAAAGGAATGAACCCCTCTTTGATGGGAAGTTCAATTCTTCTGAATTTCAACAGAAGTACATGTATTTGTGTAAATTTTTTCAAACTCATAAATGTGTTTCCTAAATTTTGACAGGGGAAACCCCCCCCCCCCCCCCTTGCCAAATAAAAACCAGAGTAGAATTGAAAAAAATGTATAACTTGGGTAAAGGTTTAGCAGAGCAGAATAGAAATATTCAGGCGCAGTGAAACACGTCAAATAGATAAACATAAATAAAAATATCACATGAGTACGTTACAAAGACATTAAAATCATGCATGTCCTTTGTCATGCACAGCTTCAAATCAAATGGCAAACTCATGCATTTGATATACATTAATATGTTAAGAATAATAATAAATAAATAAAAAAGGTGTAGTTACATTTTAAAGCAATATCAGACCCTATGAAATCAAAATGCTATAATATCTCAAAAAATGGTTTCATCGAAAAGGGAATTAACTCTTGAAATTCGTATTTGCTTTTGTGAATGTTAGAATTGGTTTCATTTTATTAGTATGTTCTAATCTGAACACAGTAAATTATCATGGACTGAAATATTTTCTTACTTCTTTTTTCAATTTTTCACAAATTAACAAACAGTGCTTAATGGTGTGAAGTTACCACCAATATCGAGTTGAATATTCATAAGGCAAATTTTTATCACTCACTCAAAATCTGCTTCTGCAAATTTTTCTTTAAGATTCTATTGCCACTTTTGAAGATAAACAAAAAACGTTCTGCATCATAAAAATTATGAAAAAAAATTAATGATCCAGTTCAGACATTTAATTCAAAGGAATAAAATAAGCATGTGCATTTCTTTTAAAACATCAACAACAAATTACAGTTATTTTGGCAATGACAACACATGAATCATATTTGTAGTAAAGTTAAATCCTATAGATATGATTCCTGTTTTGTCTCTGATTCTGAATTTAAATGTTACTAACACACTGGTGGTCGTTTTCACTGAGCAATCAAGACATCAGAATCATAATATTATCAATATACAAAGTTTTAAAAGCAAAAACATCTGTTCTATGCTGAAATTTTTAAAGGAAAGTTATTATGTTCATCCTAAACATGGTATGTATGTAGCTGTTAAAATCAACACCAATAGAAAAGCTAAATTTGTCCCCCGTCGCCTTACATAGATTTGTGGTAATGTTCTACCAGTAACTGTTTTCTAGTCATGGACACGATGAAACTGTTACAGCTCACCCTCTAAATAGATCATACAAATCCATAGCTACTCACAAAAAATAACTTCTCTCAATGTTTCACCTTGTGATGCTACAAGAAGCTGACATCATGCTTATATCTACTGTGTTTAACAGATTACTGGCATTTTCAGATATATGTGGTATTAGCAAAAATAGAAGATATGCCTTTGTACCATTCTTTAAATGAAAGAACATACATGCATCAATGCAAATTTACTCACGAAATGCTGAGCTGACATGAAATGCCATAAACATCTTCAGTTAGTGTTAAAACCAGTACCTCAGTACATATATATTCATGACTGTAACTGAAAATTCTGAAATTCTTTTACCATACCATTGCAATTCAGAATTTCATATGCGATAAATGATTTTAAAAATCTGTTTAACCTTCCTTCAAGTTTTTAAAATAAGATCCATAAACATGCAAGCTTATCCGAGTGAGGTAGAAAATCATTACCAGGGTAAAAAACGATTCCGATACATGCAGGCAAGTTCAAAATACAAACACACAAACAAACATCACACATCTTTCTTTAACTTTCCAAAGCTTGCACTAATAAACAAGCATGGCCTCTGTACATTAGTCATCCACTAGCATCATAACCTACTATCCAGGATTCCACATCTGAATAGCTTGTTTCTGTGTGAATTACTGTAAAATTAATTCAGATTTTTTTGTTTATTTGGTCTGTCTGCAATAGTTAGAGATAAAGTATAATAATAATAATTCGAGGTTCTTATATACTGCTTTATTACAACCTAGTTCGTAGGTCGTCTCAAAGCAGTTCACAAATCATATCCATGGTTATAGGGCCTTTTGCAACCAGCCAATATCTTTCTCAACTCCCTGGGGAGCATACAGCCGGTGCTGCCATTTCGGCGCTCACAGCTAGCATTCAATAATACTAGCCCTGCCCAACCGCGTACTCATTTGCAATTTCCTAAATCATTACTTATTCTTATAATATAATCTGTGGTAGAATACTCAAACTATAGTAGTTTTAATCACCATTACTCTTTCTCTCTGTGAAATACTGCTTCAACATCAATTTCATCATCAAACTTTTCCAACATCACAATTGTACAGTTGAAATGAAGCTCATAAAAAAGTAACAGGCACCTTGACACATGAACATGACTGTTGAAAACACTACACCTAAATAAAAAAAAGTTTAAGACTTATTAGAAACAGAAAATTCAAGCACCAAATTTACTTAGCCTCTTAAAACTGACAATGTGCTATATACATGTACATGTTTGTGGTAAGTGCTGACGTGTACATACATTGTAAGTATTGTATTTTTTGGTATGGTTATTATATATGGTATATTTGATAAACATTCTACATATTTATGGTTAAATAATAATTGACATGCAAGTAAATATATTAAGAAATATTTATATCTTTTAAAAATATATGAATGAGATATATTTACCTCAATCAAAAAGAGAATAGGAACCAGAGTGGTACAAAATTGTATTTTCACATAGCAGTGTTTAATCCTTCGCGGAATATACAAAGTTATCTATAAGGAATCTGGATACCTTTGGTTGACTATCCAGTACCTGGTATATTACTCTTTAAGGAGGTATGCTATGCTTACACTATATCCGATTTATATTAGAGTTACCTCCCCTTTTTATTAGCATGTACCTGGGTGATATCAATCTATACTTTTTTTGTACCTTTGAAATTTGCCATCATCTGACAGGTCTAAAGTTACTGTTCGTAGGAAAGTCTTGGAGCGGAACTTTTTTTAAAAAGGAGGCTAAATGTCACAGTGAGATAGCATTTTTAACATCCTTAAGATAAGTTAATGCCTGTATGTGGTTTCGTTTGTCAGTGTTTTGTGCTGGAGACGTTAACAAACACTAACGTCATCTACTTTCGAAAAATCCGGTTTCTTATCTTTCATACTTTGTCATACTTGAGCTTTAAATACAAGAATGCCAACTCCAAGCAAAGTTTATAAGAAAAGGATCGAAATGCAAATTATAAATATATTTGGTAAAGCCTGCTTATTTGGTAACACAAACAACAGCTAGGTTCTTCATACCATGAAATCACAGTGACATGTGATCTAGCTGCTTACAGCTGTAAGACATGTTTCTTGTGTAAGTTAATTATAATCACACAGGGACATGGAGAGACAGCTCTGCTGTGTTACATGTTTCTTGTGTAAGTTAATTATAATCACACAGGTACATGGAGAGACAGCTCAGCTGTGTTACATGTTTCTTGTGTAAGTTAATTATAATCACAAAGGGACCCAGAGAGACAGCTCAGCTGTGTTACATGTGTCTTGTGTAAGTTAATTATAATCACACAGGTACATGGAGAGACAGCTCAGCTGTGTTACATATTTCTTGTGTAAGTTAATTATAATCACCCAGGGACACGGAGAGACAGCTCAGCTGTGTTACATGTTTCTTGTGTAAGTTAATTATAATCACACATGGACACAGAGAGACAGCTCAGCTGTGTTACATGTTTCTTGTGTAAGTTAATTATAATCACACATGGACACAGAGAGACAGCTCAGCTGTGTTACATATTTCTTGTGTAAGTTAATTATAATCACACAGAGACATGGAGAGACAGCTAAGCTGTGTTACATGTTTCTTGTGTAAGTTAATTATAATCACACAGTGACACAGAGAGACAGCTCAGCTGTTTTACATGTTTCTTGTGCAAGTTAATCACACAAGGACACAGAGAGACAGCGGCTTATAGCTGTACACAGTTTACCGAGTATTTAAATGATAATGCCAACAATTACTCATTTTTGTTTTTGGGGTACAACATTCTGATTAATAATCCTCTAAAACAGCCTGGAACAAATTAAAGAGATTATCTACCAACAATGCGCACCATATGGCCTATAGGACGCACACATGTACATAGACTAGTACTTGTCCAACTTTGACCTTGAATCACAAACAAGACCAGTAGGTCAGTGATACCTTATCCAGGTAAATCTAACGACCTGTCTATGTCACTGGGATATCCCTTTTGATACCAGGCTACTTAGCTACATTTACTGTATAGCATATGTACCTCTGAGAAACGTATCTGGTGTTTACCTCTGTAGACAGCTACTCCATTCTGACCTCTGTCTACAGCAGTATTTCTGATAGGCACAGGACAACTGTTGACTTATTTTGTCTGATATGTCACATGAAGATTTTATGAAAATCGTGACACAGATTTACTTGATATTCAATCAAATTTTCATTTCAAGGAGAAAATGTCCTGGGTTCATTGAGCGCAAGCTTGTCTGGTACTGTAATTGCTACTTGGTACATTGTACTTTTAACACTGCTGGTTTTAAGACAAGTACAATTATTTACCATGGCAGGTATCAGACAGCTGTTCACATGTAAAGAAATCAATACACATGTTCTTAACTTGTATAATGTTTACAAGCTATTCTTACAACATGTGGTATAAATTGGAGGACTTATAAATCAACCCTTCCTCTGTAGTTCAAATTGTAGACTGGCAAAGAATCTGACTTAACCCAATAATCAGTCAATGAGCATTATTTTCTTGCCAGTGTGAAAATCATGAAAACCCAAGATCAATTTCTCTATTTCTTACTCACCGGCCGTGTGTCATGATTTTACCCAGTTTCAAGGAATCGGTGAGACTGATATTTCTCTTACCCTGGACAGGTGTATTCACACTTTCCCCAGTGTGAGATATCCTCGTCTCCCCCCAGTATCGAGACGAGGGGATTTCCCAGTTAGAACAATTGTATGACATCATGTCAATGATGTCATGCTGCTGAGGTCACATCTACACAACATACAGGAAAAGGTCAACGGGGTCAGAGAAAAAGAATAATTGCCTCCAGCAGGAGCGAGATAGGGGAATTCAACCCTCAAGGGTTGATACCCCCCCCCAAGATTCTATCATTACCATTATCAAACTTATGCAGGTACCATGTATCGTACAAAGTACCTGACATAAATTTATGTTAATTTATATACCTGTATGTATCATCAATACTTTTATATGTATCTCCTTTTATTCAGGTACGACCTAAAAAGTGTGCTCCTGTCTTGGGATAATAAAATACAGGTACTTCCTAAAATACATGTTTCTGTACCTGTCTCGGGATGATAAAATATAGGTACTTCCTTAAATACATGTTTCGGTACCTGTCTCGGTAAATAATAAAATACAGGTACTTCCTAAAATGCATGTTTCGGTACCTGTCTTGGGATAATAAAATACAGGTACTTCCTAAAATACATGTTTCGGTACCTGTCTCGGTATAATAAAATACATGTACTTCCTAAAAAAAATGTTTCGGTACCTGTCTCGGGATAATAAAATACAGGTACTTCCTAAAATACATGTTTCGGTACCTGTCTCGGCATAATAAAATACATGTACTTCCTTAAATACATGTTTCGGTACCTGTCTCGGTAAATAATAAAATACAGGTACTTCCTAAAATGCATGTTTCGGTACCTGTCTTGGGATAATAAAATACAGGTACTTCCTAAAATACATGTTTCGGTACCTGTCTCGGTATAATAAAATACATGTACTTCCTAAAAAAAATGTTTCGGTACCTGTCTCGGTATAATAAAATACATGTACTTCCTAAAAAAAATGTTTCGGTACCTGTCTCGGTATAATAAAATACATGTACTTCCTAAAAAAAATGTTTCGGTACCTGTCTCGGTATAATAAAATACATGTACTTCCTAAAAAAAATGTTTCGGTACCTGTCTCGGTATAATAAAATACATGTACTTCCTAAAAAAAATGTTTCGGTACCTGTCTCGGGATAATAAAATACAGGTACTTCCTAAAATACATGTTTCGGTACCTGTCTCGGTATAATAAAATACATGTACTTCCTAAAAAAAATGTTTCGGTACCTGTCTCGGTATAATAAAATACATGTACTTCCTAAAAAAAATGTTTCGGTACCTGTCTCGGGATAATAAAATACAGGTACTTCCTAAAATACATGTTTCGGTACCTGTCTCGGTATAATAAAATACATGTACTTCCTAAAAAAAATGTTTCGGTACCTGTCTCGGTATAATAAAATACATGTACTTCCTAAAAAAAATGTTTCGGTACCTGTCTCGGGATAATAAAATACAGGTACTTCCTAAAATACATGTTTCGGTACCTGTCTCGGTATAATAAAATACATGTACTTCCTAAAAAAAATGTTTCGGTACCTGTCACGGTATAATAAAATACATGTACTTCCTAAAAAAAATGTTTCGGTACCTGTCTCGGGATAATAAAATACATGTAAAGGTTTGACCATACAATACACGTATTGGTACCCGTCTGAGGGTTAAAAAGTACAGGTTCAACTTAAAAGACATGTATCTGTACCTGCCTCCGGATACCTGGTAATAAAATACCCATACCTGTATATCTTCTTGAGTTACTTTTTCATAAATCTTTGGTAGAAACATACATTATAAAGTAGACAATTACTGCTGGTCAGTGTCATGTTAGGTAACTCTATTTCTGAGATAGTATCAATCTTGTTACCATTTACAGATACAATGCATAAAAAGAAAAATTGCCATCTATGGTTATGGTGTTGTAGTAAATTAGATATGTCATCATACTTATGTCTCTATTTCTCAGATAGTTACCAATCTTGTTACTGTTTCCAGATACAATTCAAAATAAAACAATCGCTATAAGTAATAACAATAGCTGTATATGTATACACAATGTATCAACAACATTCCGATACAATGCGACTGGTCATTGTGTGGTCGTTGACCTCTTGTATGCTAACCTTTGTGTTACTTATAAAGGATAAAAGAGTTTCCATTGTAATGCAGAGGTTTGGAATTATTTGTTGCATAGTCAATAAAATAATAGCACAATTATAAATGTAGCCGATAGGCTTCCACTTCAATACCCTAAACAATTTTGTAATGGTATTATTACATGTGTAAGCTTATCATAAACTGTATATTTTGCTATTATAATTACTCATAATTATTCAAAAGAATTTTACAAGCCACTTCTAATAAAATGTTACACTTTCTGAGTCATCTTTATTTGAACTGGCAGATTTTCTCCAACTGCTGACAAGGAACATTTCCAACTTTAATTAAAGTCAGAGCACCCATAGTTTTTTTGGAATTACTCTGTAAATCATACAAAGGAAGATATGGCTAGTGAAATTCTGTAAAATATTTGCTGAGTAAAAATATTTTTCGAAAAGAGAATAGAATAAAGTACCGATCAAGATATTCCGTCTTTTCGTAATGCAGAGTTATCTTCCCTTGTAAGCAGGTATTGATTGTTACGTCATTTTTTTTGTGAGAGTAACGTCATCAATTTTTGAGAAAACGATGTAATTTTCTCACACAAACCAATGACGTAACAATCAAAACCTGCTCACAAGAGAAGATGAGTCTGCAATACGCAAAGACGGAATACCTTATCCTTCCTATGTTTTTTGACAAAATACTGAAATAATACTTTTAATGAGCCTATTTAGGCGTAATACAATTATAAAAATTTCCAGAAAAAAATCTGTTTTCTTTAACATGGCTGCTTTGGTTTTCAAGTACACATATTACATTAATAATTTCCTGCACTTGCATACCTGAAGAAAAATCACTGGCCCAGATAATCTTGTTTCTTGTAAAATGGAAGTGGCTCAAATGTGAAGAAAAATCAAGTGGCCTGTTTGGAGAGCTAGTTACCCCTTCCCTATTTTAACCTCTGAAAGTTATGCAAACCTATATTTTTTGTTAGTAAATTAATTTACCATGAAGAATTAAATGAACTTATCACTTCAATCCATATATATCTAATATTGTAATGCTATCCGAATGAAGTCTTTTATGAATAATCTCAATGGTATATGAAGCAGTACTTCATCATCAAAATATGAGCCAAATATGAATGATTGCGTTAAAAAAAATACTTTTTTTTTGAGAAACTGTGTCGTGAGTGTAATAAATGTTCTATCAACGATTTTGATGCACAGTATATGAATGTCTTTTATAAATGCAAACTTGGACAAACCGGTTATATGCATAAATGGGAACCATGTTCGATCGGTAATTTTAGTGTGTACATCTTCTAAAAGTTTATACAACAATAACAAATTTCCAAAAGTCTGAATTTGAATGCCACAAAATGATAAATTTTACATTTCTTCATGGAAGAGCTGTGTTGCCAGAACTTCTCCCGTTACGATTGTCTGGCAACCAGCATCAACCATTCCTTTCTTAGCCGACGATATGTCCTCAGATATTCCGTTAGTGACTTTTGCCTTCTTTTCTTCCTTGGAAGTTTTATCATCTCGAGGACTATCGCCGAGGACGGACCTGTTCATGTAATATCTCTCTGCGACCATGGACAGTGTCTGGTTGTCAGAGTCGTCACTGAGGTCAAGGTCGTCTACATCCTTCATGCTGTCCAGCTCTGTGTGTTTGAAATTCCAGACAGGAACCACACCTGTTCCACTTGGAGCTGCGTCAGTGAAGGCGTACTTAATACCGCCAACACTGACCGGAGTCACAGGGATGTTTATGTTGGCATCATTCAGCTCTGGAATAATTCCTCGCATCTCCTCATCAATGTTAGCTATAGGACTAGGCGGCTCCTTGTAAGGGATCCCGTCTATGGGTAACTGTAGACGGGTCGCCACACGTTCAATCAGTTCTTCTATTGACTCATGCTCCTTCCAGATTTTAGTGGCTCTCCACCTAGCCCTGCTTCCCTTGGCTGCAGGGATGGCATCGAAACATGCCATCTCCCCCACGCAAAGTATCTTGTGGAGATCGTCAACATGTTTCCCAAATATTGATCTGTCGATAAAGACGTGCTCGTGCTTCCCTAAGTCGATGATGCCCCACAACTTCGCTACATGATATATACGTCCTTTACGATTTGTGACAGTAGGCTTTGGACTAGCAGGAGGCCGACTTCCAGTGATGATGACATTGAGACGAGCACTCTTTATCACAGACACCATCTCGTTCTCACCAATAATGAAAATGTTGGAGTGGTCAACAAGAAAGTGGTCAAGTTCTTGTTTACTCCACCCCACAGTGTTGCGTAGACTCTCAGGTGCCTGGCCGAAGTGGTTGACCAAACTTCCCAGTTTCATGTCACCTTTCTTCTCTATGATGCCCTTGATGAACATGACAGCCTTGTACTCATTGGCAGTCATGGTAGTAGGTCCTGATCGAGGACTTGGTGTTGGCAACTGCTTCATAGGAGAACGTGGTGACATGAGTGGAGAATTGGGCTCAAACATTTCAAGAGACCTGGGCCTCCGTTTCAGTTTTGGTGTGAGCTGTGAAGGAAACATGTCTTTTTCCAAATATGACAAGTTTGCACTGTACCTGTTGTTAAAGTTCATATCCTCTAACGGCTCTGAGTTAGGATTCACAGCACTGTAGGTGATGTTGTCTTTTAAACAGGCATTATCGCCTTTCAACTCATATATCAATGGATGCCGCAAAAGCCATTCTCGAAATTCATTCTGGGGTCCTACACACTCCCTGATTTCCAAAGGTGCCTGAGAAAGATGTCCTGCCAGGCTTTTGATCGGCATCCATTTCTCACCCCTCTTCAGCAGTTTCGCTCGAAAAAATTGCACGGCTTCAGTCTCCGTAGAAACCTCCGGTGCACTCGGACCTGACGATGTTGATGCAGGGCTGCTTTCTCGAAAATTTCTCCCAAGGTTGGCAGTTCCGTCATTTAGACTTATCTGGAAATAAAATAATACCTTTCTAAGGGCAAGGAACATAACGCTTGTAAAATAGATTATTTATTGGTTTTTGTTGTTTTGTCTCTTAAAGAAAACTTGTTTCAGAAAACAGGATTAACAATTACATAAGGAAGAAAAGTGTTTTCAAAAAATAGGGTTATCAAATGCATAAGGAACAAAAATGTTTTCAGATTTTTTTGTATCCATCAAATCTAGAGTTTCCATTTCTAACAAGCATTTAATAAACCCTCATGTTACAGGTACATACATTTAAATAGAAAAACCAAGAAACTAATGTCGCCCTTTCAATGCAGATAGATGTCAACTTACCAAATTTCCGTTAACACTAAACAGGGACGGATATTTTTGAAGGAACTTCTTCAGTCCAGTTTCATTGCCCCCAGCTGATTGTCTCATCTCGGCTGTAAAGTTGCGACTTCCAAAGCGGCCAGCCAGCTGACTGATGGTCAATGGAGCGTTGCTATGCATCAGGATCTCCAGGAAATACAACATAGCTTTGTGGCCGGGATCGTCAGCCATCTTGGATGATTGGTTGAATTTGTTATTCAAATTATGTTTTGACAATTAACTTGGTGTTGATCAATCTCTTAGATTCGAAAAAGAAACGAAACTGAACTCAGAAGTAGCTTCCTATGTTCTTTGATGGAATCTGAAACAAGAAAAAAGATATTTTAGTTACCGGTAATGAGAGTGTAAGTAAAAGAAGGACTGTTCATGCTCAGTATTCATAGCTTGATAAGTCATTTCACTTTCTAAAAGGCTTTTGAGTTGAAATACATCAATTTTTGAGAATCTTGTTTTCAGAAAGAGATGACCATTCTGAATACATGTATAGAGGTTTACTTTTTAATTTGAAAAAAATGTTATACATGTATTACAGATATGTATATATAATATATGAAAAGTTAAAAAGATCCACTTTCATTTTCAATCTTCAGACTGATGTGTTAAGCATCTGAAGATTGGTAAGCGCTAATGCTTTATAGATTTATGTGTTTCTGATTTTATTACTTTTCACATATATCTACCAGACAATGAGAACATACAGGTATGAACTTCCTTATACAATGTACATTTTCCTCCTTATGACTGACATTTGTTTGTTAAACAATGAAACATTAACAATGAAAAATGAGGTTAAGAATTATATGATGAACCAATCATATGTATAAAAATTATTAGTTGAATTTAGTTTCATTTTAAACTTTATAGGGCAGTACAATTTTTGCAGCTTTTTTTCATGTCAAGTCTCGGCGTTTCAGAAGAGGTCCTATCTACTTATAAAAAAAAAATATTTGTCAAAAGTCTGTTTCGCTGAAAAAATAATTTGTGAGGAGAAAGATGCTGTAAATCGAAAATGAGTATAATGGTACAAACTGTATAGAGAATTAGCTGACAGTCATGTGCTGCATCTGTATATGACTTATTCTGCCTTAAACAACATCATCATAAACATATAACAAGAAGTGACTTTTTCCACTAAAACTCATGATGAGTCATACATTCCTGCTGAGCAGATCTAGAGCTATATGTGTGCTGTGCAACACATGTGTCCCGCCTAAGCCTGGGACCATAACAGTTTCAGTTGACTTTTCTTACTTTTGTAGACAATTGCTTAAATAGAATTGTCTTCTAATTGGTTTTTCGTGAACTTTCGCTGACCTGGATACATTTTACTCAAACCAGAGCTAGCAAATGGTATCAAAAGGAAAATCGGACAAGAACAGTTCTACAGTATTTAATATACTTAAGAGTACATGTACACCCTTTGTACAAATATGTTACAGAATAATGCTGTGGGCAATTTTCATTTCAACATGAAACATTTAGAAAAACTTTATATCTATATATATATTAGAAAAACGAATTTAGATATAGTAGTATAATTTATATAATGCACTGGAAAACAGTACAAGATGAAACAGTTCATCTTAAAGCATCTGGTTTAGTTTGAAAGTGATTTTAAAGAAGATAACTTGTAACCCTTTTACCCCTAGGTAACTTTAATAGACTCTACCATACATTTATTTGGACAAGTCCATTATGGTCTACAGTGGTGAAAGGGTTAAAGGACTTTTTTAATGACAAATTCTGACATACATTTTTTGGAAATGACGAGTAAGTTAGCTGGGGGTCACACATATATATAACCCCCTTCCCCAAGTAGTTTTGACCTCTGACCAAATAAGTTTGACCGATGATCATTATCACCAGTGTAAATACATGTATAAACTAAACCTATTGAGAGGTATGCAAGATATTTTGTTCACAAGCTTTGTACTACTACTGGATGCACAGACATGTCAATTAATAAATACCCCCCACCCCCCACTCCCTCCTCAAATCAGTAGGGATATAAAAAAATATAATCATACAGAAAACATAAATTTACACAAGATCAAATTTATAGCACTTTCCTGAAGCTAACGCACTATATCCCTTTTACCTTGCCGGCAGCTCATGATCGGGCAATACAGATAGTAATGCTATGTATCTTAATTTAATATGTAAGTAAAAGCAAGATATATGGACTGGCTATGGATTCCATTAGTCTAATAAGTTTATCAAGCAGTCAGCCTGTTTTTGATCAGCCATTGCCAATTAGTACTAGCCTCTAGCATGCAACTGGCAAGAACTCTAAACATCAGTGAATATGAGGTGTCGACATAGTGGCCTTGTGTCACACAATGATTGATTTTACTCCTAATTCCTTTTTATCTAAAAGCTGAAAATAAATATTTTCTACACCTTGACAGGACAGTCATATATATAATTGCAGGACACCTTTCTCATTTACACTCGGTTTATGGCACCATACATGTAGGTGATGCCTTCTTAAGTTAGTTTCACTGGCTGGCTACCACAATCAAGCAGGCCCATCGTGTTTACTTTTTCTAGCTGCATCGTTTTTGCAGTGCTTTTGTTACCCAAGTTTTACAACAGCCTGTTCCTGTATGAATTGGGAAAAAATAGCATTATTTGTATTGAAATTGGGAACATATTCCTCAGTTTTTGGACATTTTGGAAAAATAAGGTACTTTTTAGCTAGACGAAACATCCTGTATTCGACAGTAAAACTGAACAAAAAACGACACTGTTTTGAAATGTGTTTCTACTTTTTTTTGTTTGAAAAAAGATGGACTGTTTTCATTCAAATAAAAATTATCATTGGCATTTTTAATTCAGATTTATTCATCAAAATCATTCTCAAAATATCAAAACACATTAGAGATTTCATTGTAAAAAAAAAGTGGAAAATGTTGATTTCAATGTTTCACAAATTACATGAAAGGACCAATTACTATTCATTTTACAAATCTGTTTAGTGTTACAACATGCCAACAATTTTTCCAATTGCTAGTGATGCTAGAAGCTTGTGTGTTACATAGACTAGTAATGGAAGAAATGAGGATACAGGAGTTTTGCCAGGTATTTTGGGAACATAACCCTCTCTTTAAGTTGGGAAATTTGAAAACCATAAATATGGCTTATATCAATCAAAAACACATTTTTTTTTCAAATTTTGGTACGGTTTTAAATTTTTCTAATTGGGATAAATTGTATGTGAAACTTTGTCCATGCTTAGTTACAGTCTGGCATTACGATATGTCATGTATTGTCAGAAAGTGCTATAAAGGCTACAGGAAGTGTTAATGTGTTAAAGGCAAACATGATCATATACTTGGCTAGAACCCAGAATAATGTTCACATACCTGTGTAAGCCTGGTAGAATTGTAACAGTATATATATTAGTCGGTCGTTAGATCTTATTTTTTCTATATATTCAGTTGTATATAAATACCTGTATCTAAAACATGTGCATTTTGTATTAACATTTAACAATAAATTACAAGTTTTTTGTTTGATAATAAATCTAAGTTTTCACCTACTTACGACACCCCGTCATTATTAGATTGGTAGCATAGAGTGCATGGTGTAATTGCTTTACCACTTAACTATCTTATTACAGTTTTGTTTTACATATTCATTTTTATAACTTATCAGAAAATGTATGTCCTGTCTTTGAGGGTAATTATAATATCATTGCCACCTCTACTACTTGTGAAGCAAGCATGTATCTATATTTGTCAAATAAAATATTCGAAAATCATGATGGTATTTCCTCTCAACCAGAAACTAGCTAAAGATTCATCCAATACAGTTTATCTAACTTTAGTCATAAAAGTACACATGTAAAACCTCATACACACACACATCCTCAAGTCTGTCACCAGATCTGTAGAATATTGATTTTAGTACAACACAAAGGACACAGCATCATCAGATTATCATTGACTGAAACATGTTAACATTGCAACTTTTCACAGTAACAGGGATAAAATTTGCACACTTGTAAACTACTGTTAGGAGACAGGAACAAATGCAGTGTGCTTCAAACAGGAATCAAACCAGCTACTCAATGCTTCCCAATAATTCTATGTATATATGTAGTATATAAGAACCAGCCACAGTTATCTCAAGAAAATTTCAAAGTTATTGCTGGAGAATACTATATACCTTTGACCCCTATAACGCTAGTTAAGACCTTGACCTTTGAGCTACTGACCCAGAATTGCACAAGACCAAACATTAAGTAAGTTCATCAATCAACGAAGTTTCATAAGAAAAAAAGGTCTTTCTAAAGACATTTACCATACCATGGTTAAAATGACATGACATGCAACTTTCTAATATCAGACCTTACCTTTTAGTAGAGGACGTAACAGAGGTATCTTATATGATACATTCTGATTCATCTTTATAAAAGTTCATGAGATAAGTTGTTTGAAGGTGTTTGTTTGTGCGCATGGGTGGATTTAGACAAGACATCTACTGTTTGTTTTTAAGTCTGATGAAACACTGCGCAACTGTGTAATGGTTGACAGAATAGTGAAAGATGTCGATATCAATGGCCTGGACAAGCAATTGACCTCTTTGAAACACCTGATACAGACTTCAGTTGTTAACCCTTTCACCACTGTGGACCATAATGGACTCATCCGGATCAATGAATGGTAGAGTTTACTAAAGTTATTTAGGGGTGAAAGGGTTAATGAGACACTGTCTAGTTACATGATCTTTAAATGAAGTAGATACAAAAGTATTTGGGCATGCAGAAGTTAATACTTGGACCAGAAGATGGGATGGCAGACTGGTCAAAACATAGTGCAATCCTACAACCCCATACCAGTTTTATAGTCTACCACCCCATCCCACTGGTAAAGGACTAATGAATTAGTTCTGCCTCTATTATCTATATTGCACCTGATCTCTCTATTACTCTGGCCAATCTACTCCGCATTTTTGGACATTTTGCTTCTCCCTAGGCAACTCTGGAATGACCTATTGTCAGAACAAATTGATGTGACCAGTAAGTTGAGTGACATACTTATGTGTCCACAAGACAACCAAAAACCTAACCATGATTGCCTTAGGCCACACAAGATCTGGAAAATGTGTCTCTACTTTCCTGACAGACCAGTGTAGAATGATCCATAGAATATTGCTATATTCCAAACATCATGTTTTTTTCATTTAAATTTCCTACCAAATAGATACCTGACGGTAAAAATAGCTTTATTTCAGTAAGAACATACTTTTACAGAGACTACTTTCACGAAATTGTCATTCATGTACAGTACTTACATAGGTAATTTAGACTATACTGCAACTTCAGGAAAGCGATTTTTCAAAAGCGTATTCTATGGTCGTCATATATACATGTTGCCAGTAGTGGTTACTGGCACTCACTGCCATTATTTGACTTTTAAAAGCTGTTGCAAATGTTTCAAAATACATACAAGCAAACAAATCTGTATATACATTGTACGCTATATATTGTTGTGAAGAAAAAGCAAAACAAACAGTTCAACATAAACAAGTAATATGTATATATAGGTATGTGTCAAAAACTCTTACACTACATTTAGTGCTAAATATCCACATTGATATACATATACTTGTTGAGACAGAAATAAGAAAGATTCAATAAAACGTCATATTTTTATAAAAAAATAATCATTTAAAGCCTAACTACAGAATGTATACATATAAGCTATGGTGTATTAGCGTTTGATCTGTATTGAATTTCTTGACGACACTGACAAGTGACAAATTTGACAATGGATCAGACATGTGTATTTCTTAATAATATATATTTTTCAGTAGAAACGGCCAGAGGGCATAATCATCATTATTGATGGAGCCCCTGTACGCTAAAAAAGAAGAGTACTAATCACTGATCACAGGAGTTTCCAAATTATGTTTCAATCCATATATAACAAAATAAAAATGTTCATGATATTGTTTAGATTGTGTCATACGATACAATATCATAAACATTTTACTTATTGTATCTACTGGTCGAAACCAGCTCATGTGCTGTGATCTTAGTCATTAACTGCGACATTGTTGATATGGAATGTGTGGCACGTGAATTATAAAATGAGCGAGCACATGAACTATCAGGTTACAAGCTGATACCACATCAATGGAGGGTACACCAGCACTTACTCATACACTGCACCAGCTCAGAGCACACTCCATCAAGAACAGAAGCATGTGTGCTCTACAGTAACGGTAAACGTGAGACTGTGTATTGTACGCTATGCCCACTGGCACTGCAGACAACAGACAGACCGTACCCTACGAAGGCCGTTCTTCTCCTGACCTAGATTATTAAAACTCGGTCGGATACGTAGATAAAGGGGAAATCCATGTCAAATCAATGTGTAGTCATCAATTTGGTTGAATAAAACCATACTCACCTTGCAAATTTAAAAACTTTGCAAGAAAGTTAAGAAACGTCAGACGAAAGCAGCCATCTTGGGAGATTTTAGGTTGGACATGTACATACAAAATTAGGAATAAAAAACAAACGGAACGCACATGTGAAATATTGCCTATTAAAACAATTGGCCTGAACCCTTTTGTACTTTTCATACGAATAAAATAACACTGGAAATAATAAATCGTTCTTCTCAAAATTTGTTTTAATAACTGAAGTATTTTAGAAAACTGATTAAGAGACTTTTAATTCAGTAATAACGTACTGTTTTGATAAGGACGTCATCCAATTTCACAACCCCGGATATAGATTTTGTTTATCTATATGATCTTCTAGTTATGACGTCAAGGCAGGACCACAGGGACCTGAGAATTTGTAGAAGCTATATTTGGACCTAAACTATAAGGTGTTCAGAGTACTTTTACATGTTTTAAGGTTTAGATCTACTTTCGGTATTTAATGACACCCCCAATGATAATCATTGGGATTATCATTGGGGTGTCATTTTACCTAAAATCTCAGGACAAAGAAAGAGTAGAATTTTGTATGGACACGAATTCAGTTGCGAGACGACAGCTATTTGTCAACTTTATTTCGACACCTTTCATATGTATATGCGTTCAAATTTAATACGATTGATTTAGCAAACGGCTTTGTCAAAAGACTTCAATATTTATTAATCAGTACAAGAAAACAATACGTATGTCATGGTCGGTTTTCATTGTGTAAAGTTTACCACCATCTTCATAGTTTTGTCTGGACGATCTGGACATCGTCTCTCGTTCATTTCAAACGGTCACCTCTATCCTCCCTTCGATGCATTATGTCATCATAAACACATTATACATATTAGTATATTAACGGTCATACATCAATTGATGTCACGGTAGTATTGGCATATTCTACCAGGAAAATGTCCAAAATAAAACTAATAGCAACATAATCTGGCCTCTCAATTAGCTTTGCTATTGATTAGGACATTCTATTGTTGAGAAACCTGGCATGTTTAGCAGTGCAGAATTATATAATATAGTTTATAGCAGATAGCAGAGACGTACTTATCACCTAATGTACTGTGTTATCCAGTGAATTAACCCATGTAATATGACCTATGAGCCCTGTGATTGGTTGTTATTTTCAATTATTTCAATTGTGACGTCACGTTAACGACAAGTACATGACGTCACAGATTTAAGCACTGTAGTCAAAATGGCGGCTTTTTACATTTCATGGCCGCATGAAAATTGTCGTTTTACACGAATAAATGCCACAAATCTTGATTTTGTGATAAAAAGGATCTTACACTCGTTTTCATTTTATATAAAATTTATGAAACTCGTCAAGATCTTTTATCATTAAAGCTCGCCAGAGGCTACACAATTGAACAATTCTTAGACTCGTTTCATAAATCTCCTATGCATTTTATATGTCTCTGTTTGAATTGATCGTTTTAAGTGAGTTCTTTTTTCAATACCACAAACAGCTGAAGATGGAATTATATCCATGAGAAACATTCGGTAAACTATTTTTTCATGATCTGTTTAATTACTAATGATTGCAATGTTCAATAACATTTACTCATTATATCACCGCATGCTGACCAATCAAAGGGAGATGACTTACATAAGCTATGATGAGCTTGCTGTCAAATCCTTTTTCATCTACATCATCTGTTTTTGTATGGTTGATGTTATAAATGTAATTATTGAATAAAATCTTGCTTAAACTAACAGAATTTATTCCTTTTTTATTTTTTATTTTATCTCACTATAAAGTCAATAATGCAAGTGTGTATAAACGTCTCTATGCCATTGAAAGTGACGAGGAACATGTTCATTGTTAACTTGATACTGGTATATATACTATTAGGCCTAGTCATCAAAACGCCACACATACATTTCACCGGTTGTGCTATATGAACATATATGATCTATATCCTGTTACCATTGCCGATCTAAAGACAAAAAAAAAAAATAATCGAAAGAAAAAGGAAAGAAGTTCATTTGTTATACACATAACGCTTACTACTATATATATAAAAATGTCAGTGGTTTTCTCCGGGCACTTCGGTTTTCCTTCATCACCTAGAAACGTCCCTAAATATGACCATAGCTGGTAATAGCTAGGACATAAAACACAAACAACTGGAACCAACCCATGGAGTGAAGGAGCATTTTGGTCACAAATCAAGATCGATGTGGCTATGTTAAATCACTAAATTTATAGAAAAAAATCACAGGTAGTATATATTTAAGCAGATTGTGGGCAAGAAAACGAAACTAGATTGATAAATCATTGATACATGTAGATCTATGTCAAAACATTATGTGGCGTTATCCGTCAATGTGCTAGACATGTTATAAACATTGAAAATAAAAACTGTAATCATGTTTAGATCACGCTTAGCCTTTTATATTTACATTTGCGCTGCAACCCACTATATGAAAACTACCAGCAGAAATGCATTTCATTTGAGTATGAAAGCAAAAATTCTCGTGACGTAACACGTGGTTTACTTATAACGTCATAGATTAACCTTGTTCAGTGAGAGTCTTGTCGCTTCGCTTCGGATGATATGGAGAAATGCCCCTGCGTCAAACGCTTAAATGACTACGGTTAATTATTGGCGACAATTTTAGTTAAATAGGGCTGCTCTGTCAATGTCGTTTAATGACGACGCATACACAAAACGCAGTATATAAATAAATTATTTAAGAACAAATAAATAAAGTTAAACCATTGTTCTAAAATGAAAATATGAATATATAGATTGAACGGCATTTTTTTTTTTTTTTAAATTTCATGCCGGTATGAACGCAAATCGGTTACATTCATATTAAACATGAAGCCCTCTTACATTTGAAAACTTATAAAATACTTTACACTCGGACCACACTCGATAACACACGCTCTTCCACCTCCTCCAACCAATTTACAGGGATCCCCGGTACCATGTTAGTACACACCACATTCATTCCACCAAACTAGCCAATCGAATTCCTTGCTTCCCCCGACCATACCTGCGTCTATGGAATCTGTATTTAATGATATATACCGCCAACTAGGGAAGCTTGACATTTTAGACACTATCATTCAAAGACTGAACACCATCGAACAAAAATTTGGTAACATAGATCGTGAGCTATCTGAAGTTAAAAATGAGCTCGGTATACATGTACCCAGGTGAATTAAATATCACCTAGCTTAAGTAAGTTTTATGTTTAATGATTTGTATTGTTTTATTTCTATTTTATTTCTATTTAATGTCCTTCCTAGGATCGAGGACATTTTGGATTCCTTAGCAGGTAATACGTGTTTTACTGTTCTGGACATGAAATCAGAGTACCATCAGTTAGAGCTGGACAGGCCCACAAGGCTAGGACTGCCTTTACGGTTGGAGCACTTGGATTCTACGAGTTTAATAGACTACCATTTGGACTCGCCAATGCTCCTGCAACGTATCAACGGCTCATGGAAGAGTGCCTCGGGGATTTACATCTGAAGTATTGCTTCATCTATCTTGATGCCCTGATTATCTTCTCGGACACCTACGAGGACCACCTAGTGAGGCTTGAGATGGTCCTATAGAGACTGCGCGAATCAAACTTGAAGCTTTCACCTAAGAAATGTGCCCTTTTCATGAAAAAAGGTGAAGTATGTGGGTCATATTGTGTCTGCTGATGGAGTGGAACCAGACCCTGAAAAAGTAGACAAAGTGAAGATTTGGCCACACCCCAAAACCCCAGAAGAGGCGAGATAATTCCTGGGGTTCATAGGTTATTATAGGAAGTTCATAAAGGATTTCTCCAAAGTTGTCAGACCTCTTACTGATATAATGGCTGTTCTTAGGAAGACAGCGAAGGGAAAGTCTAACCCAGCCGCTGTAACAAGAGAATGGAAATGGGGAGAGGAGCAAGAGACGGCATTTATAGCACTGAAGTAAGCTCTAGTGTCGTCACCTATCCTGGGATACCCTGATTTCCAAAAACCCTTCGAAGTACATACAGATGCATCCCTGAAGGAATTAGGTGCTGTTTTATATCAGGAACAAGAAGGCAGGAAAAGAGTAATCGGATATGCCAGTAGAGGATTGAGTAGATCTGAGAAGAACTATCCAGCCCACAAATTGGAATTTTTGGCCCTTAAATAGGCAATCAGCAAGAAGTTCCATGATTACCTATATGGACAGACCTTTACAGTCATGACTGACGATACTCCTTTAACCTACGTGTTGACATCAGCCAAACTGGACGCCACAGGACACCGATGGATAGCTGCCTTGGCAAATTACAACTTTAACATTGTATATAGACCAAGAACCAGCAATGCAGACGCAGATGGGTTGTCACGATTGCCAGAAACCATCTCCAAGGACACTATGAGAGCAGTTTGTGGAGCTATCCATACTACCTCTTATGTGGAGAGTCTGTGTTTGACGCACACTTTACATGGGACTGGTCAGGACGAGGACACACAAGTACTGAGCTTCTCTATGATTTCAGCCTCAGAACTGAAAGCCACACAGCGGAAGGATCCTGTCATTGGAGCATGGATTAGACACGCAGAGGTGGGAGTTTTTTTAGGTTCAAATTGTTTTATTCCCCCAGCATCTTTGGGAGGGATGCCATGGTTGGGTTGTCCCGGGATCATCCCTCTTACATAATATAGCCTCATGCAAAAGGCCTCTTTCTCTTCATTCTCTTTTTCTGTTTCATTCATTCTTTCATACTCAAATTCAAAATCATTCATTCTTTCATACGTATATTTCATTTATTCCAATAACGATAATATTTATTTTGCGTAAATTGATATATTAAATTACATCAACTATTCCTTCTTTATATATTTATAAATTCATTTACATGCCAAAAATTCTGCTTTATTGATTTGAGATTGCCATATTAACCAAATTCATGTACTTTGAATGATGTTGTTTTTCATGTGTAATTTGGATTAGTTTAAGAAGGAATGTCTGGGGAAATAAAAAAGAGTACAAATACTAATGTACCTAGCAATTTAGACCTATATACATAAACACAAACAGTGTACAATTATGTGAAAT